GTTGGGAATACTAGAATTGTTGGAATGCTGGCATTCGGGTTTTCAGCGGTGCAGGTCACGTTTTCCTATGTCACGTTTTTTCCCCACGCATCTGATACGTGTTTCGTATCAGACACCCACACTCTTTTACCCATCGTCCGAAGCAATTGTAGATAGGAGGAACACACAGAATACAATCGAGAATCAGCGCGCTTACTTTGTGTCACACTTTGAGAGAGAGAGAGAGAGAACAAACCTGTACAGTCGTATCAACAATTTGAATACTTAGCACGGCCTAATTAGGTTTGGCGTTAGTGTTATCGCTTGAGTTCCTACCGGTAGTATGCTTGTTACGGAGTAAGGGATAGTTCTACCTAAGTAGCTTTAAGTACTCGATTAACTCATAAGCAACTCGAGTAGTGTCGGCCCTATGCCCCGTAGCGCGCTCGGGGCTTGCTAGCCGGACTCCGGTCGGTCGGTCTAAGTCCGAGTGCCCCTACCCTGGAGCTATATAGTAGGAACAGGCTCTATATGCAGTTTACTTACGTTGTATATGACTACTTGAGTATTACTCGAATAATTAAATTCACTACTTAACTTAACCTGAGTTAAGTTAAGTTAAGTAGATAAGTAGCAAGTAGATTTATTACTACGCTCCCCGTAGATAAGAAAAAATAGTATAGATTTTTTTTTAATTATTAGCGTAAGTTTATTCTAAGTACTAAAATATTAGAAATATCTAGATAATTACCTTTATTATACTATCGTTTTAGATAAATCATTTTAATTACTTTGAATAAATAATATAATAATAGTTTTTAGTTATGTTAGAATAAGATAAAAGAGATCTCTACTAATTTTCTTATCTACCGGCCGGGGGTCGAGTCACTATACTCGTACTTATAAGTTAATCGGGTACTACGACTTAACTCAAGTGCTCAAATTTAGTACGCTATAAGATTATAGGTAGACTTTCTATTTAGTAGTTCTCCGTTCTCCACGGGTTATACGCGCCACGCTAGTACAAGCCTAACAAAAGAAAAAACAAACTTGGTATTGTTTTCTACCCTAAATACCCTCGTACGAAGGGTAATAACCCACCTAGAATATACTTAAGTAAAAACATAGAAAGAAAAGATTGAGAACAAAAAAAAACTCCCAATACTTCGATTAAAAACGACGTAATCAACACTAAACCAATTCTCGAAAGAAATTCTCAGTTCACTGTTATTACAAAGAATCCAAACGTCGTGAAAATAGAGTAGAGCCTGGCATACACAATCACGTCTCCTAGAATCGTGATTCGTTTTCAACTAGTGTCTCACCCTGTAGCTACCGCTCGCAGAGTACTCGAAAAACTAATGGAGGGATTCTTTTACTGAAAGTGTGATTTAGAGGGGGATACTGTAACTTAGACTTTCTCCTATATGCAACCCTGCAAATCATATCGAAAATCCCGAAGAAGAATAATGGGTGGTCAAGTCGATTCAAGGCAGGCATGCCCAAGAATTTCATCGTAGAAACGATAGAAATGATTAGCACTCGCCATCAGAGGTAGCCAGATGCATACCACCAAGTCGGGATTTTCTGATATCGGTATGAAATACTGGGGATATAATACACGAAATCACATGTGAAATGCACACAGAAAGTTCAGGAAACGATCCTCCCATTTAAGAGAGGCGATAGCTATGCTCATATGGCCCAGGAGTATAGCCTCAACCCACCACCGAACCAATGACGAAATGAACAATTCCCCTGGACACCAATACAGTAAACCAAATACACATGCAATGCAATGCAGCCCTGCCCCCTTCTAATTACGATCCAATCTGCGTCTCAAATTTCTTGTGCGTCGCATAAGCTTCTTGTACTTATGCTTCTTCATCTTAAGCTTTCGTTGTCTCTTCACGCTAATGGCGAACATGCCATTCAACTCCACCCCTCGTTGTACTCGGTATCGATCCTGTCGGGCCTGCATACGCTCAAGGAATCGGGTGCTAGCTGGTTGATCCTCGGATACTAGAGGTGAGCTATGCGCATGATATGTAACATCACCGTTTTGATCGGTCGATTCCTCGATGGTCAGAACGGCAGTATATGTACGATGTTGAGTTTTTTGTGCCTCGGCTGCTGCCTCTGCTCCTGCAGCAATAGATTCCGGTGTGTTCATAGGCATAGGTGCTGGAGGAAGACTGAAAGGACGGTATTTTCCGGAGAGGATGTGTTGAGGGAAGCTCATGGTCGACTCTTCTGGAGGAGAATCGAGATGCTGTGTTTCCATTCTCTGATTGGATTCTGCCGTTATCGCCGCACGTAACTCGTCTCTCTCGCTCCATTCTTGTGGGTTCACTACACTCATTTTCTTTAATTCGCTTGTAACTGTGTCCAGGTTTTCGACCGTTCGAGAAAGTGTCGAGATGACCTCCGCCGGCTTGGGATTTGATTTTGAGCGAGGTGCGAAGATAGCGGCAAAGGCTTCGTCTGTCACGGCCTGTGGGAAACTGTGGGTGAGGGAGATTGGACGGTGGAGGGAAAAGAAGTCCGAGGCAGAGATTTCTAAGTCGAGTTAGTTTCCCATAAAAATGACGGACGAGATCCATTAAACGTACGATTAGGGGCAATATGCTGTGTACTAGGTACGCTGGGGAGGTTATCTACAGATTCCTCCTTGCCCTTTCCATTCGCATTCCCATCTCTGTTCTTCTTTTTGCTCGACCGCGAACCTTTCTGCGCAATAGCAGTAGCAGGCCCGCTCTGGGCTACGCCTTTCGATCCATCGGCAGGGCTGGAAGGTTTCGAAGACGAGTACCGTCTTTGGGGTATTCGGGTTGAAAGCGCATGAGTGGCCGCGGCTCGCGGTGCACAACTGGCAAAGGAAGAGGCAATGGGTATAGATGGAGTTTTCGAGGCTACCCCCCGGATGGATGAGGAGAACATGCCTCGCTCGGAGAATGAAATGAGGGTATCGTAGGAATTAAGTAGTAGGTGGGCGAAGTGGTGGTCCAACTTCGTTCTTGCGAGAGCGGATCTGGCAGGCCTTGTCATTTGGACTTGGCGTTTGGATCACGTGGACAGACAGTACCTACAAATCGGGAGTGACTGTCTTTCTGTCAAAAACATATACCTGTGTGATTATCTTAGGAAATGTCAGGGAGCAACAAGTATATTACCCTTTTGAGATTGTACACACATTTCACACGCTTCAATTCTCCAACCATTCATATAAAAATTGATTGCCATTTTCGAAGTCTTTACCTTAGACTATCTATCATTCGTTTGATGATTTAGATTCACTTTACCCATACTCTACACGTAAAAAATCCGGGGAAACTACCAAAGTTTCAACCATTCAGCTGGCTCCTTTTCCATGAGCACAGAGCAAATCATACATTCCTCCCCCCCCCCATTCAACTTTCCATCCATGTCCAACCAAAGTTCTGAGCAGATGACAACGTCTAGGACATCCTCAAAGATAAAAAAAGCATCCTCTTGGGTTATTTGTGCATGACAAGCAGCACATACCCACACATTAGACATCTTGGGTCATCAGTAGCACGAGGCTGCTAATTCAAGCAGAGCCACGTGGGTGTGAAAACACAAACCAGTAGACCAGAAAAGCAACGAGGCCGAGCACCACAACTAGACCCCAGATGTACATCAGTATATTTGCCACTCTCTTATGGCCTCTTGCAAATGTCGAGCATTGCCCCCTGGTCCACCAACAGACGATTCCGTCGAGTTTACCCATCGCGTAGAGTAAGAGCATAGGCGGGAAAAGGCTACTTAAACAAAGAACAACAGTAGAGAGTTTTCTCTTCTGTCGGATAAGTCCTGTCTGGTTAGATGAATGTCTGGAGAAGACCGCTAATCGTGGCGCCTCAAAAAGCCGCTTCTGAGATCCAGCAATTTTCATAGACTGCCTAAAGCCCCCAGGGAAGGACAAATGAGGACCAAAGAAACCATCGGACTTTGCAGCATCGCGCATTCTTTCCATCTGAGATTCGGTGTATAATGCCTTCCAGCTGTTGCATCTTGGAGGTGCAAGAGGGGATCGGTAAACGAAATCATTCGCTGGCCTTTCTGTCGCATCGCCAGTGATCTTATTTGTAGGAGTCACAGGTCTACGCCCAGAGAGAAGAGACAGTCGTCGGAGGGCATTCGTAGGGATATCTTTTACGGTCTGTCGGCGGGATTTACGCTTAGCGGATCGCGTTTGCTGGTGAGAAGATGAAACTGCGCGTAGTCCGCGATAGAAAGCTCCAGGACCCCCGTTTACAAAAGGCTTGCGGTTTCGTTGCTTTTTGGAGTCCGACTTGCCACCATACGTTTGCATTTCAACAAAACCGTCAGTCTGGCTCTTCTCGGCGTCAATATGATTGTTGTCGTAGGGGATCACGTCTTGCCATGCCGCTGCATACTCTGGGGCCGTAGCTCTCAAAACATGTTCTCTTTGAGTAGTAATCATAGGACCTGGGTCACCAAAGTCATCCATCCATCCCGGATCTTGCGATGATTGCTGAGCGATTGTCATATTCTTCTTGGGTCGATGCAATCTCATACCGGAAACATCTGGCTCTCTGTGTGCGTGAGAATGCGCAGGTGGGGGGAAAAGGGTCACATTTGCTTGTTGACGTAGCTTTGCACTTGGCATGACTGTTGGAGGAGGGCTCTGAAAGGGATTCTCGTGTTGTTTCGCCAATGGTGGTGGACTTTGGTAAAATGCATTCGGAGGGGGGCGGATCCTCGTCGAATCAGAGAGATACCCATTTACTTTGTGCTCCGTGAAGACTGGCAGAAAAACAGGAATTTGTGACTTTTTGAGGTCTCTTTGGCGATAGTCTCCCGAGTAATGTATATTGCCAGGGTGTTGCGTGATTCTATCTGTCGAGCTGAAAGATCCCAAGGACAAGATATCGTCGTCTGAATGATTTGCAATGCTACTCCCTGCTCTTCCAACTGTGCCACCAAGAAAATCAGACGCAAGAGGTCTCGATACAGCACTTTCCCCAACTGTCTCCCAATCATTGACATCATCTTCTGGGAAATCCTGACGGTGTCCAAATGGTGTATTGAAATCTTCAGGTGGAGAGTCGGGCGGCGAGTCGGGAAGAGAAACTTGATTGATGGGAACACGAACTGTAGTTCGTTGTCGAGTCGAGACCCAATTTGAAGGAATCACTTGCCGGTCGAAAAAAGGCTGACCTTGAGGCTTGTCTTGTGGTCGATTTCTATTCTGGCTCTCAGCGTCAGAAGGCGGTACAACCTCCGCGTTTCTTCGCAATAGTGACTTGATTGCCCGATAAGTTGGAGTCTCGCTTGATACATCCTCATATCGCTCGCGTGGGTTAGTCGAGTTGCTTCCGATGCTGTATACACTGTAGCCACTTGCTCTGCGAAGTGCTCTACTTACTTCCTTTTCCAAAGGCAATCTCTTCTCTAAATCGACCCCTTCAGGAAGTCGATTGCCATGTGCATTTGCAGTAGAAACAAGAATTTCAGGGCCGTTTCCACCATATGCGCTAGTCTTCTCTTTACCCTTGCTTGGCTTTGTACCCAAGTTGAGGCCAGGATGATGACCAGCTTGACCCTTTGAACCAATTTTATAGTTTAGAGCCCTTGAGCCTTGTTTGATCACGGGAACTCGCGCTTCTCCTTGGAAAAGTCCCGAGTCAATTTTCTGGGAGGGAACAGGAACAGTGTATTGTGCGCAAATTTTCTGATTGGCCGGAGTAGGAAGCGAGAAATTTGGCGGACTTCTCTGCAGGGTTGAGTTGTCTCCTGGCCCTTTCAGATTGGCATTAGGTGAAAGGAGATGAAACTTTGAATGCTGGTTCTTTGGACTCGAAGGGAAGCCGTGACTTGAGGCGCGTCGATTTATATCGTCTCTGGAGCCAAAATACACGAAAGCACTCTCTCCGTCATCACTCGGTTCATATGCTTCTTCGGAAGCCATGTAGTGAGTGTATATGTTCCCGACGGTACTGCTTTCCGGCATGCTTGAGCCTTCGGCAGCGAAGTGCGGTAGCCTAGAATTCCAACCCTCATGCTGAATTGAATCAGAGTGGGGAGCATTGAGGCTGGAATGGTAATACGATGAATCCTTCCCATCCATAGCTGTTGCAAAATCTGGCTCTGCTTTAGAGGGTTTTGATTGGATGGCTTGACGGCTCAGAGTGCGATTTTTGGCGCGTGGAGATTCGCGTTTGGAAGCATCTTTGTGCCAATGCCAATGTTCCCCAGACTGATCATCTCTTGTTGATTGAAAGGAGAGCGCGTTCTTTATATGTGCAAGAACAGAGTTTCCCAATTTCCCTGGCTGCGAAAGGTGTAAGTGACTGAGAGTATATTATAGAATCAATTACTTACAGGTTGACTACCGTAAGTTGAGCTTTGGATGGTAGGCTTCTCCAACTCAGAGGCTAGTTGTCTTGGATGGTTGTACGTGGAAGCAATGTGACTATTTTGACGTGAAAACGGCACTAGGGCAGGTGTAGGATGAGTCGGAAGATTTCCCAGAAGGTGTGACTTTTCATGTGCCTCATGTGGGCTTTCCGGGTTGTGCTTTAGGTTCAGAGTTTCCAGCGGAATTGAATTCTCTTCTGGGGAAGTTGCGACCTCCACCTGCGAGACTCTTTTGCGTGCCACAACGAAGGAATAGGCGGTATGCAAGTCGTTAAAGACCGGGGTTCTCTTTCTGGCATTTGCAGGGCGCTCTAGATCTGAAGCCAATGATTGGGAGCTCTGGCTTGCACGTTGCAGGAGAGGACTTCTAGATCGGGCCCATTCGTCTCTGCTGTATGAGAACCGTTGAGTTGGCACCGCCGATTTAGATCGGCCGCCTCTATTGCTAACTTCAATGCCGCCATTGCCATTGTGATACCATGGAGAATCACGACCTCCATGGTCTCTAGAATCTGGGGGTGTGTTCATGGCTCAAACATCGTCAGGGGGGTGACCGACAGTTCTCCGACAAGGGCGGGAAGAGGGTGAAGGGAATTGAAGTTTGAATGACGGGTAGGGGGGCAGGAAATTGATTGGTCGCCCAGTGGGCATATAAATTGACAAGGAGACAAGGAGACCAAATGAGATTGATTGGTGTTGCGGAAGTTTGTCGTGGGTGAAGGTTGATGGTGTTGTCGTCGCACCGACATGGAATCTTTTTTTGCGAGAGGTTGACGCGTATCAAAGGAGGAACCAGAGAATCTCAGAATCGCACCATACCATCTCAGCATCGTGCCGCCTCTTGATTGTTTGCCGACCCAATCAGCTCACCGACTTCCCATCATGTCCATAATGACTATAAAGCGGCTATGCATTCATGATTTCTTCCATCTCCTCCACAAAAGCTTTTGAGATGTTTTCCTGTGTTTTCGCATGCATGTGCATGAAGTCTCTTCTTTCTTGGTCTCTCCTTCCTTATATATTGCCAATGCTCTCCTGCAAGCTGCTGCTTCCACTTAGTCTAGACTTTACACTTTTGCATCCACTTTCTTCTGCTTGAACTCTTGTTCTTGCTAAAATTGAAGCTTCAAGGATGACCCTCTCGGGTCAACATGCTCTCATCCACAAGCTTGGAATACGGCAATAGCTAACTCTGACATATCGCTCTTGCTTGCGCAAAAAGCGAAGAAGCGGAATATTTAGCCAGGAACTTTATCCACGGCACTCAATTGAATCTTTTCAGAAGGTTGAGCTCTATGGATCGATTGCTGGCAAGTGTTGGCCTCCTCCTTTTCTTGAAGAAGCTAACTCTTATACCTCGCTTCTCCATAGCATGGTCATTTTTTGATTACGCTTTGCGAAGAACAGGATGTAAGAAACAATTACTGTAATCTTACGCTTGTCCGGCTTGAAAGACTCAACACCATCGAGTAGGAAGCGTTGCAGACAAAAACAGATTTACTTACTACTTGTTCCAGAGAGTTTCTTTCCAGGACAGTTGATTGTCCTTTGGAAAGAAGAACACCTTGGTTTGATAGACATGTTCTCTTCTCTTCTCCAACGGGCGGTCTCATCCCATGGCACCTTCCACTCAGTCTTGCTCTTCATATCCGAATGCTGGCCACACCATTCATCTGATATCTGCAAATGCCAGAGGATGTTTTGTCAGTTGCCACACTATTGATTTGGTATTTGCAAATGCCAGAGGATGTTTTGTCAGGTGGCGTGACCAAGGAACTATTTACCCTCATTTGGATAAATCAATGGGTCAGAACATCTCCAAAGCAACCATGTCACCCTGAACTGCCCAGTTTGGTAGCTTTGATGACATTTATCTAGGTTAAATATGGTGCTGCCGCAGGAATTGGATGTAGGGCACATTGTTCATTGACAGATGTCGTTGGAATTTAGGTGTGGCTTGGCTCAGGACCCTTGCTCCTTGGTCTTTAGTCTTTCAGCACGGCTCCATTAGTGACCCAGGCTTGGTATTTCCGCCCGCACCCCCACACCACAGCCTCAGTGGGGTGGTTCCATGGAGTATCGCTACTCGCATCCCTCTCCCTCACCTCACACCCACTGGATTTCAAGGCTGCCTACCACCTGCAAATACTCTACATCATCACCACTCACTTTTGTCTGTTCAACACTCCCAATCTCACCATGGAGACACTGCCTGCCGAGATCATCCTGAACTGTTTCTCATGCAAGTCACATTTCATCTTCATACCACCTTCAGCAACTAATACGCATACTCCGTACAGTTCTTGATCCTCCTGAGATTGTCAACTTGCAGCACGTGTGCAAGCGGTTCCTTGAAATCGGAAGAGATAACACATTTTGGCGGGAGCGTTGCTTTCTAGAATCCGCTTTTCTTAAGAGCCTCCGCCGTAGACGAGAACTCCTCAACACCGAGCCGTCGCAAGAGCCCCACTTCCACGATCTTGCCAGAGCTTTGGCTGATGGAAATGCTTTTGGTGATTCGAGGCTGGCAGAGTCCCGACAAGAGGCACGAAGTTTCAAGGAAGTTTCTAATGAGAAGATACGGATCTTAGCCAACTGGGATCCTTCCTATCCACAAGAGCGGATAAATTGGTATGATGAATGGATTTCTCGCCATGGACCTATCCAAACAATTTGGATTCAGCAGCCTCGCTGTCGGGAAGGCTCTCAGCGTGAACATCTAGAAATCCGTGGCATGGGACTCTATACCGAGCCAGGAGACTCCTATTCAACACTTGTAGTAGCCCCATTGGATGACGGGAGTGTATGCATCTGGGATATTGGCACAAAGGGCCGAAAGGGAAAAATCATCAGCAGAAGCAAACCGGGGATTCTTTTCGCGGAAAAGGCTTGCCTCGACGGAGCGGCCAATCATCCAAGACTAATCAGCCCAGGAGTTACCGAGTGTGTCAGCGTAGACAGCGCCCGTAAGAGAGCATATATTGCTGTTCTAAATGGTATGTTGACGTTCAGTCATTATTTACTTGTGTAAACATTCCAGGTTTAACCTCGTCTGGGTCTGTGGAAAAGGGGCTTCCTGAGAGTCTCAATAGCCTCTGACATAAGTGAAACCTCTACCAACTCCATACTTCGTAAGAGACACGGTCATTACTCTGAACACACCTATGCTAGAATATTATTATTCTAAAAGCCTCGCACAACTAGAACAATTATCCGCATGGGTTGGGTCAGCATAATCGTAACCTCTCACTTCTTATTAACCTGGGTAAAATGGGACAATTAAGTTACTTGTGCTAACCCTTTGGCATCATGATTTTGATGGTGTGTACAGAGTAATGACCATGTATCTTACTCCCAGCAAACACTTTTCCCCATCTGCTGTCAAACCGATAGATTCGTTATGCGTGCCTGGCTTTCTTCTCCTACACAGTTCCCGTTCCTGCGACTGTCACGAGATATCTTCATACTTACAGTCTGGACTCCACAGATATCATTGAGGTCGACCTACAAACTCTCACAGCCGTTGGTCGAGAGATATTGCCCTCCACAATTACAGCTCTATCGGATGCAAAGTGCCCATGTCCCATAACAGTTGGGACCAATCTGTCTCTCTATCTCTACGATCCCCGCACGCGAACGTTAAGTAATTCGTCTGTCGATTCCTCTGGCGAGGAAGCAAGGCTGGATTCATATGCGCCCGGGTTTAATCTATTGGCCGAATCAGGTGCGCTCAATCTTCAAAGGATTCTTGACCCAGAACCCAGGCCAATGTATGCACACCTCACCTCTGGACCTTTAAGTATTCTGCATTTACCTAGTTCTGGACATGACTGGGATGTGAATGGAGAGATCTACGTTGCGGGGCGCTTTCCAAGTATATTGAATTATGACAGGCGGTATTTCCCCAAGCTCCGAGGCTCTATACATTCTGGGGCGAGGCTTTGCAGCATGACCTCCCTTCCCTATCCGTTTGCTTCAATGGACAAGGATCTAGCAAGACGCGGCGAGCTCTCTTTACAACAAGTTGAAGAAGCAAAGACTCGACCAGGTAAGACGTTGATTGCATGCGGCGAATACAATAGCAAAGGCTCCTTGGAAATGTACGGTCTGTCACCAAACCCCTACCTGTCTACTACATCCTCAAATCTGGCTGCCGGTAGACTGCAAGACTCGGTCATGAAGAACCGCCAAACTTCTTCCAATTCAAAATTGCTCTCTGTATCAAACCATGGAACCAGGATTGTCGTTTCTGATGGCGGCGGGAATCTGAAATGGCTTGAGAGGGATGGGTTTACCGAAGCGCGGAAATGGAATATTGCGGATGATTCTGTTGAGGCTCCTCGGGGAATATTTGGATCTGCGGAGTCAGATTTGGGCGATATAGCAATCAAGCTTGCCAATACACACAACGGGCGCACTGACAGAGGTGTGAACGAGGATAACTTGGTGCTGTGGACGGGCGAGAAGATCGGACTCCTCAGCTTCTCAAGCAAGCCAGGGTTTTCCGCCGACGATTTTGAAGAGAAAGGAGCACAAACCCCCGAAGAAGCTCAGAAAGAAAGCGACGAATGGGAATACTCGCAAACTATGCGCCGGGCATTACAGATTAATGCTGATGAGGTCAGATTCATGAGAGGATTGGGTCTTGGACTTGGTGGCAGCGGACATCCATAAGGGGGCATGGGCCATTATTTGAATTTTGCTTTTTCTGAAGCTGTTTGGGCACCTCGTTTACTCGGAATACAAGGTAAAACAGATCTTTCGACAAGCTACTTACTTGTACCAGCACTTAGAATTTTATATATGGATATACAATGACTTCAGAAAGACCAGTGATTGCGCGGCCGAGTTTTGACTGTTTCGCCCCGAAATTTGGTCATCTCGTCGAGATATGGGTTGCAGGACCCCTACCTGGGAGATATGTTTTACTTCATGACTGAGGCTGTTGGCTCAATCGACAATGATGGAATGACAACCTGCCATTTACCAGGGAAACTCGTCAAAGAATAGGCGCAAAGGAGGTGCTTGGAGTTATTCGTAGGGCCGGGTGGGGCACTTGTATGTTCGTTATCTTGGAATCCTGGCATATGATATAATTCACACTGTCTGTCCAGTGCACTGGATGAGTTTTTCGACGGCTCCTCTATTTCTGGAGTTGATCAGCAGTATCTTTTACTTCACGGCATATGGGTATGCAAGAATCGCCTTGATTCCGGTCACGTTCCTGGTGCTATTTTGGCTGCAGGTGTCGTGCTCTTCTGAATTAAGGGCAAGTGGGACTGTGGTGCTTTTCTGCTTGGGTGGGGGTCTCATGTCGTCCAAAGTCGCGACGGGGTAGTTGGTGGGTAAGGCGTCGGGTCGTCTATGCCAATCAAAAACGAGGCTACACATTGACTGGGGACGAGGCGCCACCAAAAGTTTAAAAATTCCGACCAGTTGCCTTCTTTTTTTGCCTCACTCACCGCTTCTACCGACGTATTGGCTTACAGCATACAATGTGCTCCCCTCGCTAAAGCAGAGCAAAGCAGAGGGGCTGACGGAGTTGTCTTGACGATCCCCTTCGCTATCACCTGTCCAGGCTATTAGCTTGCATCAATGCTTCGCCATTCAGCAGTCGGCTTTGGCACGTCTCTTCTCCTTGTTGAGAGAGGAGAGGAGACGAGAAGGACTTGCCCCCATTGCCAGCTCATCGCCCCTCTAGGAGCAACCTGTACTCATCCCCATGCTGCGACGCTGTACCGTTATAAGCACTCGATTACTGGAAAGCTATCATGCGGCCTCGCCACACGTCTTGGATCAGCTTGGACTAGCTGCCAGCGCGCGGGTGCCATCCCCCGGCTTAGCTATCCGTGGTAGTCTGCGGTTGACAACAAGTCCTTGGGTTGGGGGAATGCCCACTGTTGATATACGACAGCCTCGCCATCTACGGCCTGGCGTCAAAATGTCATCCTTAGCATCACAAAATCCTTCCCGGCTGCCGCTTTCTTGAAACTTATCTTTTTCTTCATCTGTTCAATTTCTTTTCGTCTGACTGCAGAACTTGCATTGGAACTGAAGTTCCATTGTACGTTTCGTTTGACAGCCTCACCTTCTGCCAGATCTGGTTGGCTACTGGTTGCTACCACTGTGTTTGTTGAAAAGCCCTCTTGCTCGTTTCTTATACCGCATCTGTCTCTCTATCTACTTCTTGTTTCCCTTTTTTTGGATCTATGCGGGGACGCGTGTAGCATTTTTCACGTCACCTTCTTTATCCATGGCGACATATGCATATGAGAGCGAGAGCCTTTCCCTTCGCGGTGATAGCAGGTCGCACTCAAGACCACGTTCGGGAAATGGTGGACGAAGAGAGGTGCCCCCTCGGGTACCGAGAAGTGATTCTCGCTCTTCAAGGACGTCGCGGCTTTCACCCCCACGCCAATTCCTTCGATCAATGCCACAACCAGTTCCAATACCCTTCACCACCACGAGTAGCTTACCAATAGCCAGTCCCCCGCCCTTCGAAGCTCACGGAATCACAATGGAGCGTTCTCCCTCTGGCAATTCAATCTTGTCGGATACTCCTTACGAGCAAACATATTGCGATACAGCGACGGATAGTGACGAGCAAGCCGCCCGAAGGGTGGAATACCATTTCAAGCAAGTTCCTAGGGAGAGGAAAAGAAAACGGCAAAAGCACGAACATATTCTTCGAAGGTTAATCAAACTTGACCATCCTCTTGATGTTGGGAAAATCGATGATGCATCATTGCTCGGCATCGTCACCGCTTGCGATTCCATCTTTTTCAATGGTGCTTTAGCTGGACGTGTGAAATGGGAATGGTCATCTCAAGAACGCTATCAAACCGAGCTCGTCGGCATGACGGCTCTTCGGAAGCGTGCCGATCATGACGGCTTCGAGACGTTGATTATACTCTCCGAGCCTATCCTAATGTCCTACGATCGACGGTTACTACTGGCCACCTTCCTCCACGAGCTCGTACATTGTTACATGTTCATCCGATGCGGCTTCAACGCGCGGATCGACGGGGGACACACGGAGGGCTGGTACAAGATTGCCAATCTCATCGACAACTGGGTGGGCAAGAATCACCTCAACCTCTGCAATATGAAGGCCAACCTCAACCACTTCCACAAGAAAAACCATCCCTACGACAATCCCGCGGCAGATCATAGACTCCGACCGGATCTGTATCGCGAAGACCTCGATCTGTGCCATGGCGGATGCAGTCACGATAACACGCGGTATATGGAGGTGACTGGTGCTTCCATGCCTACGTTTGAGCCGCCATCGAGGTTCCCACATAGTCCGGCTATGTCTCAACCCATGTATGGCGTCCCACAATTCTTTTGAATCATGTCGCGTAAAATACCCCCCATGTTCATTGTTTTTTTTTCTTCTTGCATTTAATAGAGGGGTTTTCTTTTGGGAAGAAGTACAGAGAGAGACTCCTTAGCTAGGATGTTTCATGTGCTGGATGGACTTTTTTGTGTATAATTTTTCTTGTAGTTCTTTACTTTTCCTTTCCCTTTCCTTACTTTTCTTCTCTTATTTCTTTTCTTCTCTATTCCCTTTTAGCAAGCGTGGTAGCGAGGCGTTTGGACGGCTGGCTAGGGTTATGAATAAACATATGATTTGTTTTTGGGGGTTCGTTGGGATATTGGATACTAGGTATGATAATGAATGGGGGTAGGATGGGGTAGGATAGGAATCGACGATAATATCATCAATCACCCTAAGGCTTAAGCGAATATATTCGGATCGGTTGGTTGGTTTAGGAGTTTGGCATTACAATAGCATTTTTAGTATGGTACAACGATAGTAGCATATTCTGTGTTATAAAAAAAGTCTTTATTTATTCATTCACTTTTTCTTTCACGCATCCATTTCTCTATTACATATTATACTGTCCTAGCAAAATAAAAGAGGCCATCATTCCTCTCAATAAACCTACACTCACAACTTCACAACTTACAACCAACCATAAAATCCCAAAAGCCTCGCCTCGCACAACATAAAACATCATACAAGGGATTAAGGACAATTGTCAATTAGAATCAAGAATATCTTAATCATAGTATTATACTATACCAAGTGACCTCTTATTAGCTTGATAAAGTTTCTTGCATAAGGAATTGAAAATTCTAGAACATTTGTTTCCTAAGGTGTGGTGTAAAGTAGAGAATTAGATAGGCAGGTTCTTCTACAGTAGTCTGTAGAGTTGTAAATTAAATCGTTCTTTTCATCTCGTCTCGTCTTCTTGAGGGTATTGATTTTGAAGTCGGTAATTTCTTTGTTTGTGTGGAGTGTTTGTATGAGGGTTGGGATACAGGTTCACAAGGCATGCTAGACTTCCGAGTTTTTATCGAATTACGGATGAAAGTGAATAGACATAAAACATTACTATTTTCAAAAACTGCCAGCTAGATACGTGCGTAACTAGACGATCAACTATAAGAATTAAACCCACGAAAAAGACCTATCATTTATATCGAACAAGTAAGTCTGTCTTACAAGGACTCCAATCCCATGCTCGGTAAAACCCAAAACATTCCTCGTGTGCAGCGGAAAAATTTCAAGTATGTATATAGATATGTACAGTATAGTATAATATACCCACAACTCCCCACGCTGATGCAACCAGAAACAAAAAGCCTCTCTAATCCAACAAAAAAAGCGGTTCTCCCAACTCACTCACTGTAGATGAGGAGAAAAGGGGAAATGATCTACAACTCATCGATATTCGGTCTCTTGATAGACCATTTCCTGGGCGTGACTGGTAATCCAACATAGAACTCCCAGGCCCTCGCTGCTTCCAGAACCACGATATCAAATCTATATCTATTAGCGAATTTCCATTCCATGATTGTAGTTATTAGATAGGTGGGATGACTCACAAAGCTTTAGGAAACATCAACCAACCCCGGAAGACATATTTCGTGGCTTTCCAGACGAGTCTGAGTTCCGCGTAGAATTCCTCCAAGATCGATTCTTCCTCCTCCTCCTCCCTCTCCTTTTCCCGCTCTGCTTCGAATTGCGCAAAGTCGTCTTCGTCACCTCCCTCCCAGTCTTTGCCAGGAATGACATTGTGAGGTTTCGTTACTCGATCGGGCATAGTATGGTGGTGGCCCACGCTTTCTGCTGCTGTTTCTTCGGCCTCGACCATTGCTCTGAATTCCTTGATGGCGTTAAGAGAGTTTGATATGCGGTTGAGTGTGTTGAAAAGAGCAACCAACTCGGTTCTCTGCAATGGTGGAACATCCTTGGTGTTGTCGTCGGCGACCTCGAACAGAACTTTGAGGGCAGCTCCATAGCCGGCGGTCTGCAATTTTCCCCAGAGTCGGCATTTATCGCATCCGACACAGTCCATGATACGACTGATATTTCTGAACCGATTTCTAAAGTCTTCCTTCAAACTAGGGCCTTCTCCATTGACAAACATCAGACTTTCGTCGAATATTTGAGGAGCCTGAGCGGCTTGTGATGTTAAAGCCTGCACTTTTGCGTTGGTTATTTCATCCTGAGCTGGGTCACCAGAGCAAAACGTATACTCTTTCAGATATGGCCCGAGTTTCGTTACTGCTCTCAGTACAAGGGCATAGTTGAAATATAGATTTGAAACTCTTTCTGGAAATCGATGGAGCCTCTGCTTATAACATTCAAGATTTGGACTCCATTTTCCGGTAGTTTGGTTGAGGTATTCAGCACAGATATGGGTGCTGATTGATGTATGCATTCCAGATATGACTCGATAGAACACCCGTTTTTCTAAACACTCGTCCTCATACTCGAGACCAGTCTCCGAGACGAATGGAGTATCTGGAACCAGCTTTTGTTGCTCCTCAAGCGCTTGTTGACGACCACGTTCGCGAATAACCGACTGAAGCTCATTCGCAGCCCCTCCCTTCAAGAAGGAAAAGGGAGAGGAGCTTCCCAGAGATGCTGATTTCGGGAATGACTCTTTCGAGAAACAGTTCTCTTTGTATATGGCGTCCCAGACTTGTTTTGCGCCTTCGCCAGCATAACCCGTGAATCTTTCCGGGTTATCCACCAAACTCACGTAGTCTCCCTTTCCGCCAGAACCCTCGTCGTCCGGTACGCAATAGTCTCGTTCATCGCATTCGTCGTCGTATTCAACCACACAGCTTTCTCCTACATCATCGCCCAACATTCCTTGTAGCGGTTTCTTCGGGCCCCTCTCTTCCTGTAATCTTTTTCCTGGATGACTGGCTTTTGGTCCCTCCAGCTTCCCCAACTCCTCCGCTCTCCATATTTTGGGGATATCGTCTTCGTTGTCCAGTGTATTTACGGCGCAGGCAATGTTGCCGCACATGCTATTCGAATCACTCCAGAAGGGACATTCTTTCCCAAATAAATTGAGCCGGTAATAAGAAAAGAAATCGGTATTCTGCGTGACATCAAGAAGGACGGTGTTTAAATCCCGGTTCAAGTTATCGATGGTAGAGTAGGAAGCGCAGGCGTCGGAAACGGTGGCTTTGGGAGAGATCTGAAGGACGGCATTAGAGGGAGGTGCCTGAAAGAGTAGTAGAAAGAAGACAGCGTACCGCGCAGACATCAGGACTTTTCGTTCTCGACTTCGAGGGCGCTTTGGCATCTTGAGCATGAGACGTGCCTAGCAGGGCGAAGACGGCCAGATAAAAGACCTTAGCAGCATGCTTCATGGTGGCCACAGGACACGATGGCTTTATTTATCCTTTGCTAGCCTAGCGTTCGGACCAATTTAGCCAGCAATTGGAAGACGGCAATCGTGAATGTGGCAGTTTCAGTACCGGTACTCGAGGTGGGGTCTGTGAGTGAGGAAGGTCAAAGGATACACCGGTATTGAAGTCTTGATTTGTCAATGCAGCCAACGAAAAACAAAGGAACAATTTGGGGTGGAAGGTCTATCAATCCCGTCGAGGGAAACTAAATGAAGCAAATGGAATTTTCGATCTTAATATATTCTGCGGAAGAGAATGGATTTTCAAGCGTGAGCTGATTTTGTCATGATCTTGCGTAGGGCGATCTGTCCATATTCTCGTCTGATCAACCTCCGACTGACTGGCTGGCACTGACTGCCAGGGAATAGCTTGTACCTTGCGCCACCCGCCAGGACCCGTTAAAGTTGTCAGTGGCGGCGGAATGAAAACCGTATTTTATATTTAGACTTCCCAACAGTTTATGTCAATTTTTGGCCTTTTTATATGGCTTATGAATATGACATTTTACAGAATTCTGTCAATGAGTTGGGGCTTCATCAAGGTCAGGTACTAAGTACAGTACTAGACATTGCCTTAATACCTAGCATCTCGTACTATGTATAAACACATGCCTCGGTATGAGGTGAGATTGGTCAAGTTCCTGCGGGATTTGCCCAGGCATTAGGTACGAAGTACGAGAACATTATTTAGCGGGGTAGCTTCCAGGTCAGGCTAAATCCTCTCTCACTCGATCGGATCAGGACAATGGAAAGAGAAAATCCCAGGCAAATCCGCCATCTATTCTCAATGATAAAACAACGTCTGCTCCATATGAATCCCCCTTCTCCAATATCTCCCCAGCATATTAGTCTTCTGCTATCTTTTGTTATCATACACCTCAAAGTGCTCACACCACCGATGAGACCAGAAACCTCAAAAGGAGAGGATATCCATTAACCCTATTCTGGTACATCGAAGTAGCCATTCAAGGGCTATAAAAAGTAATGTGTATCGTCGACATGAAACATGACATCGTCAAAGCAAACGCCATTGCTTGTAAAGGTCCCACGCTGCCTCATAAGAATCACCCAAACTGGAATCGAGTATTCATGTTGATATCCTTCATTGAGTGGGAGGAACATAGTTGATCGGTCTCCTGTAGAAGAGGTGAGCATCCACCCGGGACCCTCGGAAACTCATCGCGACTTACTTGAATAGCAGAATGTGCGGCTCTGGTTCATGGACTTCGTAGTGCTCCCATCCAAGACTCTGCGGACAAAGGTCAGCGTGATTTCGACACATCGATCTCATCCGTCATCGCCTACCTGTGTGATGCCCAGGGCTCGCCATTCCTCCTCCCACAACAGCTTCAAGGTACCCTTAGAGGGGTCGTGGTATTCCTTGGGGATCGCCTTGAGCATATTCTTTGGCAATTGAACATGTCGGTACTCGTAGTCATCGTCCGAGTATCTGAAGTTGTGTTAGTGGTGGCTGGTGCCGGCGTTCACCAAGTCGCAAAGGTCGCGCAGACTAAGGTCGCGCAGACTCACCGAGCGGAGTAGTGGATGGAGTCGATGAACTCTTCGAGGCGCGCCTTTTCGTTTTCCGATAGTGGGCGTGGAACCTTATTTCTTCTGTTATATTCCATGTCCGCCATCTTCTCCCTTCCGGATCTGTGTTCTAGCAAACGTGCTGGTGCTGCAAAGGTCGGGGCGGCTGTCAGACCTAATGGCGGGGCAGACGCGACGTAGTTGAGCCGAAGTCGCAACCTCTCGACGAGGATCCAGTGTAGATGGAGGACTGAGAGGGTGGGAAATTCACCACCGTGCGTAGAATGGGAGTTGGTTTTGGGGCGGCGCAGAAAATATGGCAGTACTTGGCCGGGGAAACAGTGGTACAAAGTTGGGGAAAGGGGGGAAGGTATTCAAAGGTTCGTCTGTGTTTTGGTCGCTGGAACAGTGGCCGAGGCAAGCAGCAAAGTGGATTGGGGGAATTCAAGTAACGATGCTGTTGCACATGGAGCCACGGGGTGTCAAGTACTGTAAGCGGTACCGCAAGGAAACTAGTCGGGCCGTGTTTAGCAGAGAAGCGAATGATGTGATGGGGTGAACTCTTTTGTCGAAATGAAGAAGTTCAAGTCCCCAGACCTTCCAATGTTTATTATTCCCGTTGATGCCTGGTTGCGGCCTTGCATTCGAGGCGGCAAACCTTGGCTGGGCTAGGGTGATCCATCACCCCCAGAGATCAGGCCAGTGCAGCCAACCAGGTGCCAACCAGCTAGTCGTAGTGCAGCGTGGTAGAGAGAGAGAGAGCACTGAGCAGCCGACACAATACCTGCAATATCCCATACGGAGAAAGTGCCATTTTACTCGCATCCAGCGTGCATTCACTGCTGAGCAGTAATCAGTAATTGCGTCATTTCTTCCCAATTTGCCTGTGGCAGAGACGTTCGTTTGCGAGCATCCAGACACAACCACATTCATCGATTTTCGCGGTGCTCCCGTCCCGTCCCCCCTTCATCGCAGAAAACATCCCGGCCAAAGCTGGAGACTCTACAACGCGCATCAACTCTCACCTGCACGCGTTGCGGGGAGCCATTGTACCATCACCACCATTTGCAGGAGCCGACCCATCACCCTGAGAAATCCGAATTTCGGCTGCGATCCAAAAATCGTCGCATTCGAGGCGCACGATGAGTTCCAAGCGCAAGTCCAACAGCGGCTCCGTGCCTGCTGGCCTGGATCTGGACGACCCGGCAGCAAAGAGAAGAAAGCTCCCGAGTGTAAGTAATTTTCTCCTTCGAGTGCGATGCGATGCGCCGAGCGCATGCGGCAGAAATTCGTGGTAGAGTCGTTTGTGCTTTGGTGGGTTATTGGCGGTGCTGGGCTGGTCGCAGGGCTGGCTATTCAATCGGCGCACCGCAACACCTATCTACCTTGTTGGATTTGGCACTTTGCGACCTGCCTCGATGCGAGCAATGCGAACAACAGCACAGGACAGGACCACGATGCTGACAGTCTCTGCCCTTTAGGACAATATCAATACTTCGCAGGCGGAAACACCAGAGACCACGACGCAACATGGCTTGAAATTGGTCGAGACCATCAAGAAGACCGAGGATAAGAGGTAGGTCATCACTCTCACAAGCTCCTTTTGCGCTAGCCGACTACTCCTTCAGCCTCGTGTGCGGACAAGTACTTGGTATCGCTGCACGTCGTTGCCCTTCCCTACATCACCTCTCGATATGCATCCTTTGCATGAGCGTTTGCCATGTATACCACGCCTAGGAATAATGACTGACCGAGTTGTCACAGTGGACGAGTTATCTCGACGACTTTCCTCACACTTCCAAATCACCGCCAGTTTCCCGACTACTACAAGGTCATTAAGATGCCAATTGCGCTAGACACCATTCAGGAGAAATTGCTGCGACGAGAGTTCGGGAACCTGACACAGCTCGAGAGCTATTTCAAACGCATGATAGCAAATGCAAAGGAATATAATCAAAGGGGCTCAGAGGTGTATGAAGATGCCGAAAGACTAAGAAAAGCTTTGAGCAATTTTATGACCAAGACGAACCCGGCATATAAACTCATCCCCGGCTATGCGGCAGTTCCTACACCTTTACCAGGTGACGGACAAGCAAGTGATCTTGAGGATGCTGAGGGAGAGCCAGATTCGGATGCCGAAGCAGAAGCGACTGTTCAGGTAAAGAAATCACGGAGTAGGCCCAAGGCTCAACCCAAATCCAAGTCACATACTCCTCGACGAACCGATACCCCCGCGGCAGCCGATAGTCGTGCAGCAAAATCAGGCTTTTCAAAACTCACATTCCAACAAGCACAAGAGAAGATATTGGAGGATCTTATTGCAGAAAAGGAGCGACCCGAGTAAGTTGCCTTAATATACGAGGCCGTAAAATGCCAGCTAACAAGAGATAGTGACGATTTTACTACTTTCGAAGTGTTTGTTGACTTGCCTGACCGTAGTTTACGGGATTACTACAAAATCATTCAAACCCCGGCAAGTTTGCGCTCAGTGCAAAAGAAAGTAAAGGGCTCAGCAGGAGTAAGTGAATTCAAAACTTGGGCGGCCTTTGAAAAGGAAATGAAGTTGATCTGGAACAACGCTTGGAAGTATAACGAAGACGGTAGTGAGATTTCCGACTTAGCCAGAGAACTCCAGACGCACTTCAACGAATTATTCAAAGAAGCCAAGCAATCGGTACAAGAACCTCCTCCTGCGCCTAAGATCAAGCTGAAGGTGCCCGAGCCGGCTCCAAAGATAACCTTGAAATTCGGTAGCAGAGGTAGCCCGGCTGCTGAGACCACTCCCGCTCCACAAACAAATGGGGCAAATGGCACTCCAGCCAATGGAACACGCCGAAATCCCTTTGGTGCATCTGGAGCTGCCGCCCCGGCCCCAAGCCTTGATCAACTTGAACGTGCAAGAAGCACTTCAGGATCTGCGCAATCCCCAACACCTTCAAACTCTGGCGTCGTCAAGAATGAAGAAGTAGCTCGCAACTCACCGGCAGTTTCCGCAGCAGTTGCCAATCCCCGTGCAAGTAGCCAAACGGCGGTCTCAACTCCAGGTCTTCCGGTCATGCCTCCCCCATCTACCCCAGGTGTACCCGCTAATAACATGTACTCGGCGGGCGGGTACGCCACGTCCTTCCAACACCAACCCCAATACCAGGCACCGAAGCCGGTAACCGAGTCGAGATTCCGACTACCTGGAAAGGGCAAGTTCCACAAGACCCTTTTCGCTACTTGGTTCTCTTACTAACACATTTGTAGGTGCTGCAGATGCTATGATCACCAATCTAACCATCGCAACTCACCCCGGACTTAACATTACTCGTCATTTCCGCATGGATCTGCCACCTTCAGAAACCATGGCTCAGCAATCAATCACAATCAACCTTCCTCACACTCACTACTATCTCCAGATCAGACCCATGATATCCCCCAGTCTCCTTCAACGATACCATAAGCTTTTTGCTACATCTGGCGCTCAGAGATTGCACACCATTTCTGCGATTCCAGGACAACAGCCAGATCCTCAGCATCCTCTTTTCGAAGCTCGTCTGGTTCCGGGAGTCAACCGAATTGAAATTGAATTGATCGCCGCCTTGCCCAAGGGAACCAAGAGACCTAATGGACAAGAAGCGGAGCTTGAGAAAATTAGCATATTTGCAAATCTGTTGAAGGACCCTCAGCAAAGATGAATAATAGACTTGTATTAGTAGATAACCTTTCTCTAATGATGATTACAGGTGACATAACTTTTTCTTGGGGGTCTCGTTTCCAAGCAAGACAAGGCAGTGTGTGTTTTGTTTGTGGATAATCCCCTTTTTTCTTCAATTCGCTTTCTATGCTGGTGCGGGCGAATCTGGCCCAGTTCATTTGGGATGGAGGGATTCAGTCTGACAAGTCTGGGGGGGGGTTTTTTTCTTACGTCTGTTGAGCAGATTTTTCGGGCGTTTGTATATTAAGCTTTCATGGACTGAAATTGTGAGGACTCGGTTTCTTTTCTTAGGATGGGTTGAGTTGGATGGATGAGGAGGAAGTGAGTTGATTGATGGAGAAATGGATGGAAAGAGGGAATGGAAAGAGGGATCACAGACCCCCTTTTCTTTTTGGTTGGTATGGTAATGTTAGGGAGATAGTGGGGCATAAAGATTTTGTGAAGTTGTGGATTCTTGCTGTGTGCTTGTGCTTGTGCTTGTGAGGGGGTTTGAGTGTGGTGGTTTGTGGGATGGAGTGGTGTGTTGATGTGATGGAGTGTAGATGTGATGTGATGTGATGTGAAATGATTTGATGTGAATTTCGTTGAGAATTTTTTTTGAGAGATTTGGGAGATTTGAGAGTTGTGTTTCTTGTTGAGCATACAGTAGGCAGGTAACGTGAGAAGGGAATCATGACTACAGTAACTAACCGTACGTTGGCGAGTTGGGAGGATATTGGCAATGTGAGTGTGACTCAAATAGAGAAGTCCTTGTTTTTTCAAGTCCTCGTTTTTGCTGTGTGATGATACTCTTTCACTAAAGAGGAAATGTATGAAAGGCTTGTTGAAGGTTCTTGGGCTTTCGGTTGTATGCTGCATTGTTCAATTTGTTCTTACTTCTTGTATTGGTGACTGGTCACGAAATTGGTACAAGTGATATGGGTTTTTGTGGTGGTTGTGTGGGGATTTTTGGACGTTAATCGTACTCGTTTGAGGTTATTCTGGTATGTTCAAACGTTTAAGGGAAAATACGGAGGTTTGTGACCTTCTCGTGTTATTCGAGACAACGAGACACGAGCTTGTTGAAATAAGTGAAGTGATCTTTTGGGCTTGTGTGTGAGTATAATGTATTGGAGCTACAGAACAGAGGAGAGGTGGTCTTTCTCCTGATCAATGAGGGTTTTCGCGCTCTTTGGTGTTTGGAATACAATAGGAGAGGTACTGCAGACCTCAAAACAAATACCTTTGGAACATTTCCAGACTCGCTTTAAGGGGAATGGAATTTTGAATCTTACAAAGCCTAATGGCAAGTTCTGGAAGCGGAAAGCTATTCTTGCATTTATATTCAGTGATTCGAGGAAGAGTACGGCAGTTTTTCTTTTCGGATGCCCTTTTTCATGTACGCCGTTCTATTACTTTTCTTCCCAGGGCACTGGGACTGTTCCCGCGACGATTTATGTAGATTTTTTGGAGTTTGATGGCGTTCTAGACGTCTGAGTCCATGTGGATAGGCAGTAGACTGTTTGAGATGCGGGTTAGTTATTCGTGTTTAGTTTTAGTAACACTAAAAGCGGACTTCGGTACATGAATTCTGTTTCTAAGTGACTTCCAAGAGAGGGTATTTCATAGATGCGAGGAGGATAATAGTGACTATTGTATTACAAGCTCCGATTTAGCTACTTGAGTAGTAACGGACTGTTGCTGCGTCAAAATACTAACGAAACTTCGCTTAATTCAACATGGTAGTATTAATTAGCGCAGCGAGGGCAAGTGGTACGCCCTTGAATTTTTTGAGAGAGAAGGGAGGGGTTTCGTGAAAGGCTTCATAGGGTTTCCAGAGAATGCTTGAATGACGTAAGGAAGTGGTAGAAGCCTATATGTAGTGGGTAGAGATGATTGACCTTTTGGAGAGGCTCAATAGCTCTGCTGGTTTCAACCTCATTTACGTCCTCGTCGTAGCTTATCATCATGTATAGCTAACTGCAGTTAGTAACTTAGTATTAACCTGAAATATCTCCCCCTCGGTCCTCACTTCTCATTTGGAACATCCCTCTTTTCATTTATCCAAGAGAACTCTACAAAGTATGAAATTCAACTCAGCAAACACCACCCACCTCCTTCTCTGACAACCCAGACACCGATACTTCGTAAAAGGCACGATACCTCTTCCTATTACAAACAAAGTTCTTAACTTCACTTACTTCCGTAATGGAAGACCAGTCACTACCTCACGTCCAACTAAACCCATTCCGTGACATTTCGTAAACACCAAAAGATAGCTTTCTCGATATTTAAAGAGCGACTTTCCATTATAGATATAGGTGAGTGTCAAACGCACATACAATAAGATGTGAGAATCAAGGGTTCACCTTGAACCAAAGGTGGGAAATCATCAAGATCGCGAGTTTTCACCTTGGTTCTCCTTTGTGAAATAGAATACAAACGTAGTTGAGTTGATGTAAGAAAGTGTGCACTGTGTTTCGCGTTTCTGTGGGGTAATGATAGCTAGATATTGGGTAAGGAGTTTCTGGACTGTCGCCCTTCGAGAGAATATAGATAAGATTGTTGCTCTGCTTACACTGAATTAAACTTCAAATTGTTCTAGAAGGCTGAGAAATTGATTCAGACATCCCAGCTATTTACAATAATTGGAAACTGAAATCCTTGATTATTCTACTGGGCTGGGATAATTAAGTACCTACCTAGTTGAGGCATATATCCATTACGATGGATGGTGTAGCAATCACTCACAGCAAAGAGCACCACACAGTAATATAATTTTTTCTAAATTTGTTTCATTTTGATTAACATTTTACTTCTTCCTGTTTCTACAAGCGCGCTTTATGCCCGTAGAAAGTGGAAGGAGATCGTTTCCTGGATGATCAAAAGTAGCGAGATGACAAAAACTCGCAAATGACTTTTTATGGACCCAGAGAAAAAAAAGAGCCAGAAAACAAATGGGCCAATCCATGCCGTAAAATCATGCATCCATCCTTCGCTCCACGTGAAGATCTCCCAGACATTTCTCCCAGCACTTTAACGGGTGGACATCTACAGTTTGAGTTAGTTAATATGTTCTTGTAGAAAGAGTGGATATCGAAAGGCAGGGTGTACTTACAGCCTTCGTTACAACTCTCTTGAGCGCGAGCTCCTTCTTCTTCAAGTCATCTGAAGTGGAATCATCAGCCTCAAGTTGAGCCATGGCATCACTAAGAGCAGACTCGATCTTGTCCTTGGTTCCACGCTTCAACTTGAGGGACATGGTTGGGTCAGAAACGATCTCCTCTACTCTTGAGATGTATGATTCAAGTTGTTGTCTAGCCTCGAACTTCTTGCTGAAAGCCTCATCACTGTTCTTGAACTTCTCGGCGTCTAAGGCAAAATGATTAGCAAATTTCTACTCATTCTCGAAAATGAAAAGCTTACCCTCAATCATGCTCTCAATCTCGCCTGATGAAAGCTTTCCAACGGAGTTGGAGATAGTGATGTTAGCACTACGTCCGGAGGTCTTCTCGGTGGCGGTAACCTTGAGGATACCGTTGACGTCGACCTCAAAAACAACTTCAAGAACAGCATCACCAGCCTTCATTGGAGGAATTGGTGCAAGGGTGAATTCTCCGAGGGAGGTGTTATCCTCGCAGTTCACACGCTCACCCTGGAAAACAGGGAATTGAACGGTTTGTTGATTGTCAGCGACAGTGGTGAAAGTTCGCTTCTTGATGGTGGGAACGGTCTGACCACGGGCAACGACAGGGGCGAAGATGTTACCCTCCATTGCAACACCGAGAGAAAGGGGAACGACATCCAAAAGGAGGAGATCAGCAGTGTCGGCTGAGGTAGCCTTTCCTGACAAGATACCAGCTTGGACGGCGGCACCATATGCAACAGCCTCATCAGGGTTGATGCTCTTCTCGAGCTTCTTGCCATCAAAGAAGTCACTGAGGAGCTTTTGTATCCTAGGAATACGGGTGGATCCACCAACAAGCACAATTTCGTCAACCTTGCTCTTGTCAATGTTGGCATCCTTCAACACCTGTGCGACTGGGTCCAAAGTACCATTGAAGGCCTTTGAGTTCAAGTCCTCGAAACGAGCACGAGTGATTTGAGCGTTGAAGTCCTCACCATCAAACAAGGAATCAATCTCAACAGTAGTTTGGGCACCGTTGGAAAGAGTTCTCTTAGCACGCTCGCAAGCAGTACGAAGACGTCTAAGAGCACGGGCATCGCCGGAAAGATCCCTATTGAAAAGTTAGTAATAGTCATGAAACAAAAGGTGCAATTTAAACTGACTTCTTGGTCTTTCTTGTGAACTCCTTCTTGAAATGATCGAGCAAGTTGGTATCGAAATCTTGACCACCCAAGTGGGTATCACCAGCAGTAGCCTTGACGGTGAAAACACCACCCTGGATGTTGAGGAGAGAAACATCGAAGGTTCCTCCACCAAGATCGTAAATCAAGACATTTCGCTCCTTGTTGGACTTTCCGGCACCAAGACCGTATGCGATAGCAGCGGCGGTTGGCTCGTTGATGATTCGGAGAACGTTAAGACCGGCGATGGCACCAGCATCCTTGGTAGCTTGACGCTGGTTGTCGTTGAAGTAGGCTGGGACAGTGATGACTGCCTTGGCGACCTTCTTGCCCAATTTAACCTCGGCGACTTCCTTCATCTGAACCAAGGGAATTAGCCATAAAATTTCGCTTCTATCATATTAAATTGTGGAGAACATACCTTCATCAAGACCATGGCGGAAACCTCCTGGGGAGAGAAAACCTTGGTCTCTCCGAGGTACTCAACTTGAACCATAGGGGAACCATCTTGGTCAACAACCTCGAAAGGCCATGATTCGACATCCTGAATATATATGTTAGTCGTATGCTCCTCGCATTTCAGCGCCAGAACAATCAGCGTTATTACCCGAGAAGCGCTGGAATAATGGAGAATTCTACTTCCTCATTATTCCACTTCTTTTCGGATAATCGCATTAATTATCCTGAGCCTCGGAACCGTTTTTAACTTGCCTTCTTCACGGTCGGGTCGTCGAAGCGTCTTCCAATCAGACGCCTGCGACATACAGTCAGCATTATTCAAATCCAGGGGTCTCCCAATACTCAGAATTGTACTGACTTGATATCAAAAATGGTATTTTTTGGGTTCATGGCAGCCTGGTTCTTTGCAGACTCTCCAATCAAGCGCTCCTTGTCTGTGAAAGAAACGAACGAAGGGGTGGTGAAACTACCCTGCTCGTTGGCAATGATCTCAACATTGGTACCCTCATAGTTGGCAACTACAGAATGATCAGTTATCCGTCTGCGAGGTCGCGCGAACATGGCGATGAAGCAATTGCGACTGGATTGGGAACCTACCGCAAGAGTATGTGGTACCTATCAAATCAAAGTCAGTCAACGAGAAGGCAAAAACGCCGCCGCGGCCTCGACATCAATGGGAATGGGACGCATGGGTTTAAGAATTGACATACCGAGATCGATACCGATCGCTCCTTCGTAGACCTCGTCAGCCATGATGTCTTTGGATGTGGTGTTGAGTTGAGGAGAGGTGGTGAAGGTCTCTTGCGGGGAGGTTGACGTTTTTTTCTCAGGTGTGAACTTTTTAACTTTAGCTCAGAATTTTGGATTCGGCAATTTCGCCAAGACCCCACTTCACGTGATCATATCGCTATCGGCCGCTATTAGTTTCCAATTCCTCTCCTCCCTGCAAGTCCACATTCACCGCTTATGGACTTTTACCGAAGGACTTCATGATTCAGACACCTTCCGTTCCCCTCCCTGAGTTGGAAAACTCCAATTGTAAGAAGTACGTGATGATAAGTGAGGTAAGCTGGAGGTTTTCCTCGTGAATTTACCCCTCCATGCTTTTGTTTTTTGCCCGTCTGTGCGTGTAGGGCTGGCTGTGTTCTCCATCAAAGAATTGGCCTTGGGCACTGCTCTCCTCCTGGCACCAACTTTACCCAGATCACACAAAATAGCCAGGGGTCACTCAAAACATTATTCAAGGAGACTCATGCACACTATTGCTCAATTCATAAAGTTATGCCTATGATTGCTCCGAGTTCTGTTTTTCCTCACTCTGCATACTCCAGCCAGCAATGAACAAAACCACATCTATCATACAGCAACGCCAGCGAACCCCAAATCAATGATACAGAGTGATATGCCAGCATGTATCCCACCAACACCAAACATTCTCACATAACAATCAATTTCTCTGGCTCAGCAGGATCATCATCGTCTTCTTCTCCTTCGTGAAAGATTGCGAGAGGGGTAACCGAGACGGAATTGGTGTCAAACACTCCCTCTCGACCTTGCTTCCAAAATTTGTATAGGTCTTTGGCTGCCATTCTGGCCCGATACAAGTGGATCTTACCACCAGAACAAATATAATATCCGCTTGGGCTGCAGAACACCTGGGGTCCCCATTTCTTCAAGAGCTTCTCGTAATCATCGCAACGGTGACCCCTGACACGGTGGAATTTAACATCAATGAAGATGTGGCTAATATTCCAAAACTCCTCCTCCTCCGGATCCCTATCACTAAATCTATCAGGCGATCGGTCAGGACCCGGGTGGGTTCCTGGTCGGTACAAACTGGAGGCATCTTCAAGGTCGTAAGGGTTGAGTTCTATGGGATCGGTAGTAGTAGCGGTGCCGGGCTTTTCAATGGACTTATTCGCAACTCGAGAGTATGCTAAGTTCGTGGCTGGAGTAGTCAGATTTTTGAAGTTTCGATTTATGGGTTGAAATGTTGAAATACCTTCCAAGATGAGAGCAGCTACTATATTAGCAGTTACCGAGTTTAGTGTAATAACCTTTTTATTTAATATATATAAAGTAATAACTAGATATCCTACTTAAGATCCTATTAAGATTAGATATATACTATTATTCGAATTATATTATTCGAAAACTCTCGTATAACTATAATATTCAAATAGAGAGCTTAGAATAATATTAACTCCTACTTCTTATAATTCTAGGTATTCTAAAATAATTAATCTACTTATACTAGAAGTTTAGTATAATAACTTTTTATATAGTATATATAAATTAATAACTATATATTTTACTTAAGTCCTTAAATATATTAGATTATAAAGAGGTAAGAAATATAGTTATTATTCTAAAAGTCTCAAATAACTAATCATATAAAGAGCTCAGAGTTACTAATACCTTTTACTTCTTATTACTTTAGATATTCTAAATTAATTGTTTTACTAATACTAGAAGTTTAGTATAGTAACTTTCTAATATAATATATATAGAATAATAACTCGATATTTTACTTAAGGCTCTATTTAGATTAGATTATTTCTAAAATCCTTTTATATTATAATATAAAGTAAACTAAGTACTTTTCTTAAGTTTAGAAAAAATATCTAATAATCTTAAATAATCTTTTATATAACATTAACTTAGGGCCTGTTTGGCTCGAAAAGTGGGGGGAATAAGTAGCACCAAAATATTAAGCCGAATTAGAAAAATAACTATTCGGCTTAATTTAGTAAAAACCCGTTTGGATCAAATAGTACTTTTCAAAATAATTCCCGTGAATCAAAATCTTGGCACTCCGAATCAGAATAGTAACCTGGATTTAGGTGTGATTCGTTAATAACATAAAAAGCAATATTCCCTGAATAGTGGTTTTGAATAGTAGCCGATAATTCCACCACCTACACCACCACCTACACCACCACCTACACCACCATATGCCACCACCACCATATGCAACAATAATAGCGCCTTCGAAGGTACACCGGAGCGTACAAAGACAACACGCGTAGGTATATAGAGGACAAAAGTATAAGGTGCATTTACAGTACCTGTAGTCTATATGCGGCTCAAATGAGCAAATGAGGCTCAAATGAGGTTCAGCCAGAATAACAAGTCAAAGCTGTACAGACATCGGAACTGCTACAGGACATGACACCGGACTACTGATCGCGTACGGCATACCGAATTTTATTTTATAAAATATATAACTCTTTAGATCTTTCAACCAGCCTCGAAGCAAAACACCTTGCCAAGACAACTCTCGCTTCTACCAAGCCTCACTTCCACGGCCGACACTTCTCTTTTCCGAACTAATCAAGGTACGAATTTCCCCCCTTTTTCTGCAGCGAAACAAACTCGCCGCCTCGCATTTGTCAGGTACAATATTCGAACGGAAAAGGCTTCGGTTACCACCCCTTTGACCCCGGAGGAACACACGTAGAGGACTTGGAAAGACGTAGGCAAGATTTGAAAGCAAGTACAAAGCACAGAACCGACATTTTCATTTATTTGGGACAGGATACATCGCATTGCTTTGGAATCAATATAGATACGCCTGTATAGATACCGGTACATGGAATCAGGACTGGTCTAAACACTCATTTGGATACCGAAAAAGGTCCTACTTATCAAGGGCCTTTCAAACCGACAAGGATTAGTTACTACATTACATTCAGAGTCGGCATATGCAAATTAAGAGCCACCGGTTTAGATTTAGATTTAAGTGTACTTATTTACTTTAATTCTCGGATAAGTACTTATTAGAGTCTCGTCCAAAGAGGGATTAGTGACGCTAGGTATCAGAAGACGGATAGGGTACTGTTAGAATGTGAGATAAAGCTTAAGAATGACTAGCTAGCTACGAGCGAAGGTGGGTTCTTATAGGACAACCCTGATCGAAAAGAAGCCTCTAGAGTACTAGGCACCCACCTAGTTAACCGAGACAGGGGGTCAGGCAGTAATCATTGATTCCACGGAATATAGCGCCATGTGCTGAACGTTGCCAATGAAGCGACAGCAATTACAAAAGGGGTGATGGTTCGAAGAGATGATGCAAAGAGCGCTGCCTAGAAGTTGATAGGGTAGTATAATTTTCTACAATCACTTTCAAGATCCTCGGCTGGGCAAGTATAGCGACGCCCCCAGAAAAATGGGATATTTATTTCTACATTAGATATACATTAAATGAATTCAGCAAACTCGGCTAACACACTACTGAGCTGCAAGGAGAATGAAGAAGGCAAGTGCTGGTTGAAATGTCTAGGCATTTCCTTGGAACGCCTCCATCCCCGCGACAAATTTTAATCGTGTATACTCTGGAATGTTAAATCTGAGCGAGGCGGGCACTACCCTATATGCACCTGAATAATAAACATATTATCCTAAAGACCTCATACAACTAAATCAATCATACGAAGAGTTTGGAAGAATTATTACTTTTTACTCTTTATAAACCTAGGCCAGGTGGAATGGGACAATTGATTCACTTGTGCCAGACTTTTGGCATGATGACTTTTGATAGCGTGTACAGAGTAATGCCCGCTCTCTTACACTGCAGGTAATTCTCTGGCAACGGCCAAGTGGAAAGGCCATACCCCTGATGAGCTGAATTTGGCCTGACCCAGAGGGCTTGGAAAGTCCGTCCTACAGAACCTCCCATGAGTATGGGAACATAGAACTATACAGGAGGGCTGATATGGGGCCTAGGCTCATCATATGGAACTCAAAGTGACCACCTATAATTTATTTTATCTAACGTCCGGCGAATATAATTAGCCGACTCGTAACTAGGTTCTACGAATCTCACAGTAGGGCAAACCCTAGGTGGCAGTGGTTGTAGAGAAAAGACTACTCTATAGGTGGCGGGGAAAGGGGAAAGCCCGTTTCTAGACAGGCCCTAGTAAATAGACAGTAAAAGATAACGGGGAAATTTAGTAAGTATAGCGTAGAATCTAAATAGAGGCTAGCCGAAAAGGGCAGATCTCCGAGTAGAAGTTGGATTTAGAGAAGAGCTCTCTTCTCCGGGAAAGGTCTAAAGAGGAGGTGAGGGTCCCGCTTAGCTTTTGCTATATGTTTAGGGGTCCTTCGCCTAACTATTCAGTAGAACAGGGGATAGAAGTGCGTCTTCTATCTATTATAGGAGAATTCTCTAGCTTCATAGAAAGTGTCGAGGTACTAGAACCGGGTATAATAGATTATAAAGTCCCCGTGGCCTGTCCTAGCCGCTATTAGGCGTCCGAGGACTTCTATGAAGGTTCGATTTCGAGTTTTTTAGTAAATAGTTTTATACGTAATAACCCCCGCTTAAGTAAATAGGTATACTTTATAGATACTTGGTCAGTTCTACCGCGAGAGTTCTCTCCTTCTCTCCTTATGGACAATCTAATTAATATACTACCCTGACAACTTCGCGGGGAAGTTTTAGAGATCGGGGATTTGGGGCCCATTTTATAAGGCCTAGGTCCTTATATAGGGAAGGGAGTGTGGCTTTCCAGAAGTTGTACGTGTTCACCTGTAGTTTGTGGGTTTTAGAGGTGCTATTTTACATAGATCCATCCTATATCGTCACTCGCGTCACTCTCCGCCTATCCTCACATGTTCACTAACTAGCAAAAGAGCCAAATCTGACTTAAGTTAGGTTGGCCTAGTTCTCAGAAAGTAGTAACAGGTAGTAGATAAGATTACAAGTAATATGCATGTTAATTCTAGGTAGTGCAGAGAAACGTTACAATAAGGTCAAAGGATGGACTATGTTACAAGATGGAAAGGCAATAACGATTTTGGTGAAGTAACTTTCATTCTTATTCACTGTCTCAAGAAATAAGCTGTCAAAGGTCTCCCAAGCTTGAATCTCTTCTGCCTTTTTCCATCTCCAGAACGAAACCTGACGCTGCGACATCTTGAACCCAGCTGCACAATCTTCGAACTCTCGAAATCTCGATCATACTATCATCATCTCGCAGCTCAACACTGCAACGCCTCCTATTCAGTTTCTCGAGCCATGTGCTCTCGTCATCTCACGGCTTTCTCTGACTTCTGAAACTGGCGGTCAACAGCCAAAGTAAAACATATCTCAACCAGATATGACTTCCATATCAGTCCTACCATTCCCGTCGTAGCCATTCCGCTTCCTCGACCTCCCATTAGAGCTCCGATTCATGATACATGAGTTCTTCGTCATACTTGCGGCTCCTTATTGGAACCCATACCACCGCAAGCAAGCATCCTTTTTGCAAGGCCCGATCTTACCCACATTCCTCCGCGGACTCCTCCTCAGTCTCCAGCGAGTTTCGACCTTTCATTCTCAGCACCAACACTGTTCTCATCACCATACCCTTACCACCAAACAGGCCTAATAGCCCTGTCACATTCCTCCTAGGACCCTCCTACCTTAACCATCACTTGAAAATCGAGTCCCTCCGCATCTACCTAGACGGCTGGAAAGAAGCAGATTATTTTGCAACTATTCTCAACCCAATCTTGGAACAAATGCTATCTCATGAGCGTTTGCGCCATTTGGAGGTTTACTATATCAACCAACACTTGGATGAACAGCATACTTCCCGAGGCTTCAGGGAAATCAAACACGTCTTCGCACCGATTTTCAAGAACAATAAATTGTGGCGTAGCTCGTACGGCCAGATAGGTAACCGTGGATAGACATTATTAGGTTGGCTTCAAACGAGACGCGATGAATTAACTGGCAAGTTGCTTGATTGATTGGATTCAAGCTAGGGAGGGATTCGTACAGAATTCTACGATGACTTTATGGCGGTCTATGTACTGTACATACTCGGTCAGGGGAATATTCTCCTGATATTTTGATATGCAAATAAGGGAGAAGAGACTTTCCACTGCTTCGCCATCGAATAGTCAAGTCTCCAATGAATGCACTACAATTAGAGAGAAAGATTCAATTGTGATCCAAGTAGATAGTCAGAAA